AGCACTAGGAATTTCGGCAGAAAGAACAGATTTCGGCGGACGGAACAGAAGGAGGAGGGGGGGAAAGGGGAGCGTTCTCATCCACAAAGGTGTCACCTCGTTTATGGCTGTTGGAGGGGGGTCCTCAGGGTCTGCCGCAGCCGTGAAGGCCTGAGGCGGGGATTTATGGCTGTCGGAGGAGGGGCCTAAGGGTCCACTGCAGCCATGAAGGCCTGAGGTGGGGAGAGTTCCCTCCTCATCCCCAAGTGTCAGGGCCTTGCCGGACGATCACGATCAATGGCACTACGATAGCTCGGGGAAGAGTGGCCCACTCCGGGGGAGAAAACTTACCTAAAGGCCAGAGAGGAGTGGTCAGTGTGATGAGCCAGCGCCAGAAAAAGAGGACGAGGGCAAGCTGCTGCTGGTGTCGGGAGGAAGACGGGGCCCAGTTGGGGTGTCCTGTCTCCCGGGTTTTGGCACCAATGAAAGGAAAGGAGCGACACACAGCAGCAATTCACCGGAGAATTCTGCTTTATTAGGGAAAGGTGCTGGGTTATATAGGAAAGGGCATGAATTGATTGAGGTGTCACTTCTACGGGGCTGGTGGCTGTTGGCTAGGTGCTGGGATTGGGAGGGGGGTGAGAGGTGATTGGGCTTCAGGTGGCGCCGGCGGGAACCAAGGACCCAGAAGAGAAGCAGGAAGTTTGCCATCTTACTGGTGGGGGCCCTTCAATACTGAAGAAATTCAGAATTTGTAAGGGTGCTGTGTAGAATAACTACAAGTTAACTTTCCAAAGTCACTTTTATTTTTGGAGACACCAATCTATGATCTTAAGGCACAAAATAAAGACCAGGTATTTATAGTATATAAAAAAGACTGACTATATATGATTGTATGTTTATATTTGATTCTTATGAAACACCATTTTTTAAGCTACACAAAGCAATCACAAAAAGTGACTTTACATTAAGCCACAATAAATGAAATAATTTCCAAAATAGAAATGGTACAAGCTTCATTTTCTGAACAAAAGATGATAAAATGGGAAATTATTTAAATACTTTTCAACAGATAAACAGAAGCTTTTTTTTAACTTTTTAAAAAACCCTATTAGTACTTGAAAATTTAAAAAGAACATTGTTCTAAAAATTATTTGGACAGAGAACTAAAATTATAACTACAGTTACTTATGTTTCAGGATATGATAGAGTAACAGAGACTGAATTTACTCTTCTGTCTTACATAACTAAAAAACTGGTCAAAAAATATAAAACAAAGGTGTTCAGAAACAGGTCACCAGGCAGCTCAGCCCTGTAATCCCTGGGAGATGGGAAACAAACAATTAAGCCATACAACTGCCCCAGGTAGCAGAGCTGGAAGGGGAACCCAAACAGAGTGTGACAGGCTCCCTGAGTGGAAAAGAAAGAGTTGAGAATTCAAGGTCAATGTGACTAAAATTCACAGGGCAGAATACCAGAGAAGAGAGAGCTGCAAAGAGAGCCTCAGAGGTCTGCAGAGGATTTCCCGCTTGTTCAAGAACTGATCGGCTTTGTCTGTTAAAAACTCTCTAAAACCAAGGGAAGAATCACTGGAAAGGCTTACGTATTTCCAATACTCACACAGGGCTGTGAATAGTTTATGTTCTCAATAGCCTGAGTAAAGAAATTCATAAAATATGGGAAATAGGGTGAGTACTCAAAAGGATATTGACTTCAGGATGGGAACCAAATTAGCTCTAGATCAAAGTCATTTTAGTCCCTCCTAATATAGCTTACAAGTAAGCTGTGAAAGGATCAGATTCTTTCCCAATAAATTAAATGCATTGTACAGTAGAATTTAAAAGGTTTAAAGGAATTTCTAGAAAACTAGCATATAACAAAAATTACAATGTCTGGCACCCAGTCAAAAATTACCAAGTATGCAAAAAAGCATGAGAATATGATACATAATAAGGAGAAAAATCAGTAGAAACTAACTCAGAAATGACACAAATAACAGAACTAGTACACAATTTGATTAAAACAACTATGACAAATACACCCCATGAGTTCAAAAAAGTATAAGTATGTTAAGGAGAGACAGAATATATTTTTAAAAAGGCCCAAATCAAATTTCTATAGATTAAAGTACAATTTCTGAGATGAAAGTTACATCAAATAGGATAAACAGACTGGACACCGCAGAAAAAATGATTAATAAGCTTAAAGATGTTATAGAAGTTATCAAAATAAAATCAAAATGAAACACGGAGAAAAACAGATGCTCACCCAAAATGAACAGAGCATCCCTGAATGGGAAAACTTCAAGCTAGTATAGGTATCATTTAAGTCCCACAAGGAGAGGAGAAGGGAGAGGAGAAAACAGTGTTTGAAGAAATAATGACTGAAAAATTTTCAAATTTAATGAAAATTATAAACCCACAGATCAAAGAAGAGCAAAAAGCCCCAAACAAAAGAAACAAAGAAAACTGTATGAAAGCAGAACATAAATAAATTGCTTAAAATCAGTGGTAAGAGAAATATCTTAAAAGCAATTTGATAAAAAAAGACACATTACATACCAAGAAAAAAAAAGAAATGAGAGCAGATTTCTCATCAAAAACAATGCAAGACAGAAGGTAGTAGAATAACATCTCCATCACATTTAGGAGGCAATAATGTCCCCACTGTCCACTATTAGTAATCCATCTTATGACTGAGCTAAGGTAATGACATTGTTACTAAAGACTTGTTTTCCTTTTTGACTAACTAATAAGTTACAGAGTGATATCTTGTCAACATGCAAATACTTGGTTCTCTATCAACGCTTCCTCCAATGATTTTAGTTTTCACTGATGATCCGTGCCTAAACCAATCATTTCACCAGAGGTTGCAAACTGATGGTTTTTTAAATTCCACTTTTCTTCCTGCTTATATTGACTGGCATTTTTCTGTAGGGAAGAGTTTCTCCTCAAATATACTTCTAATGGAAAAGGCATGATAGTGGCAACTTCTCCTTCCTTTAATTACCAATTTTGAGAGTAAGAAGCTGGTAGCATTTACTTCCAATACTGGCAAATGGAAGTTTTTGTTTTTTGATGGGGGAAGTCTTTTACTTCTTTTTTTTTTTTGAATATTATAGGTACATAAGTCTTTATATATTTAATGTTTCAATGATTACAGGCATTATTCTCATTAGCCTTGAAGCCTGGGTTCCCCCAAAAGCAGGGTCTGAAGCAAAAGGCTTATGTAATATTATATTAAAAAAGAAATCTAATCATAATGAGCAGAAGTAAGAGACAATGGGAATAAAGCAAAGAAGGAGGGAGAGCCAATATGACAATGCATTATCTGCCTGGCCACCTGTTTAATGTCAGACTAAACCTCTTAGGAGCCATAAAACTGCATTTCAGGACTACCCCAGAGTGTGGAGAGGAAAAGGGATAGGAAAAATTTATCTATTGGCTCTCATCCTCCACTGATCGAGGCTTTCTGAAATGGGCGTTAACTCCCCTGTACTTCCAGGTTGCACATGTGTGGGTTTTCCCTGTGGACACTGCAGAAACCAAGGGACTTGCAGAATGGTGAGAAATGAAGCCGTGTAAGGTTATGCCTCCATGAGACATATTTATTACATATCACATTTTAAAAATCTAAGATGCTATCTTACTATGCTGATGGACGGTGACTGCAATGGGGTCTGTGTGGGGGGACGTGATAATATGGGTGAATGTAATAACCACAATGTTACTCATGTGAAACCTTTATAAGATTGTATATCAATTATATCTTGATTTAAAAAATGAAAAAAAACTAAGATGCTAAGCTTATTAAATAATAAGAGTCTGAATTTTACCTTGTTTTTCACATAAACATTTCCTTCCAATTGAAGATGAAAGAATACCAAAATGTTAATATCAGTTGGATCACTGGTGATTATTTTCTTCTTGTATTCTTGTATGCCTTCCAAATGTTCTATAATTAATATGTACAGTTAGTTTTGCTACATGAGATAACTTCCTAAAAACCATCAAACTACACAAAATAATGCAAGAACCACAGAATTTATGGGGAACATAGGGTTGGAGCTCAAATACTCAAAAACTTTGTCACAGATATTTTTTTTCTTTAAGGTAGAGACCTAATTAAAATAGTAGCACAGTTTTACACATGTTAAATGGTTAAAAAGTACATAAATACTACAATAAATCTGGCACTTTACCTTGAAAAAGACCTGACATGTGCTTGTGGAAATGGGAGTTAGAAGAGTTGTAGCTTGTAAATTATTCTGAAATAGTGGAAATAGGGTGATCTGAAATCAGCTGGAAATTTTTAACACCAAAATTGTGGATGGATGTGACTCAGTATGTGGTATGCTGAGATGGTTGGTGGTGTTTCAGGTGTGAGCATGTGTAGATTTTGTGTATTCCTCCATGGCCTTGGTTATCTGGGTAACTTTCTGCATTCATGTGGTGTTTCTTACAAATGAAACTACATAAAAGCAAGTGAGAAATGCCCATTATGCTCAAATTGTTCCTTAAGATATTAATCATATCAGAACTAATTTGTGTTTTCAAAAGAAGCATTATAGCAGAAATGACTATTACTGTTGCCATCATAAAATACATGTATATACATATATATGGATATATATACATAAGAGTATACAAAGGGTGGTGTGGACCTACTGCTGCAATTCTGCTAACTTGGGTTACTATGGGTCTTTTCTCTTTAACTGTTATTTACCTCTCTCATTTCCACTGTCTTTCTCTTGACTTCTCATTCACGCTTTTATTTCCCTGTTTTTCTCTATTCCTGAAGTCCACATTGTAAATACAAAATATCCTAACTATACCTTCAGGTACCCTGGCAATAACATCTGACTTATTTTTGAATAGCCTTATGCCAATAAGAGAGTCACAAAGCAAATAACCTGTTTACTGTCTTAGAAGCTTGTCATGCTACCCATGTATCATAGATATCTTTAGTTCTTCCTTCTCATAATTTTCACTTCAGACAGAATTAACATTGTGGCCATGGAAGATGCCTAGAGATATTCAAATGGCTTTCATAAAGGCAGAATACAAAAGACATGCTGTAGGAGAAATGCTATAGAGCCATGCGAGTTGCACAGAAATGGATGTTGATTGATAGAATGAAAAACACATTTCCAACTGTCCATTAATTGTTAATTCTGGCCAGATATGGAAATGTTTAAAAAGGACTGTAATCTCAAGAAGATAAAAATCTTAATTATTCTGTTTCTTTCTTATGGAACTCTGCTTACCATCTCCTTCTGTTTTCTTTCTTTCTTTTTTGGAAAGGAGGAAGCTGAATAACAAAAACTAGGCAACACAATTACTCGCATTGGTTGTATTTTCAAAAACACCAGAGCAGTCTCTTAAAGCCAAGAACCTCATCTTTTTCTCACTTTTCAGCACGGCTCTGGCCCCCTGCTGGTACTAAGCTGAAATGGCAACTGTAATATTCGACCCCAGCAATAATACCTACCATGCCAGTGCAAGGAATCACTGCGTTGCTCCCCTAATGCCAAGATAGTACAAATTTATTGCTACAACTATTTACAGATGTGTATGTGTATGTATAGATATGTATAAATACACATATATGTAGCCTCTGAAGGCCTTTATGTGATAAGCTATTCTGAAAAGTCTTCAGATATAAAGTGGCTAGTTTCACTGGCCACAGAGACTTTGGAATTAGGCAGACTCTGATTAATTTGAGCTAATAATGTAAAGTACCAGGACTGGTTGTGAGGATCAAGTGAAATAATATGCATACATGTGTGGCACTTAGTTAAGTGCTAAGTGTTAGACATTGCTCCACTAGCAAATAATTCTAGCATATGTTAAAAGTATGTCAGTCCACTTGTGTGGTTACCCTGTCACTACTATGGAATGGGGCAGATCCACTGAAGGAATCACAAGGAGTGTATAATCAACTTCATTTGGTAAACACTTAGTAGATGCAAAGTGCTACACGGGGTACTCCATTTATACCCACACACCAATAAACCATTAAGTTATGTTGATATGTTCAAGGACTTTGTAATTTATCTCATATACCAACCAGACCAAAATAATTCCACTAAAAGAATTCTGCCACAACTAGAGAAGGTAAGGTTTTGATAATTTGGGGAACTGCTGAACCACTGTATTGTTCATCTGAAACCAACATAAGACTGTGCATCAATAATACTTAAAAAAATAAATGAAGGGGCGGAGCCAGGATGGCAGTGTGAGTAGAGCAGCGGAAATCTCCTCCCAAAACCACATTTATCTATGAAAATATAACAAAGACAACACTTCCTAAAATAGAGACCAGAGGACACAGGAAAACATCCAGACCACATCCACACCTGCGAAAACCCAGCGCCTAGTGAAGGGAGTAAGATACAAGCTCCAGAGCGGGTCCCGAGCACCCCTCCACCCAGCTCCCAGCGGGAGGAGAGAGGTCTGAGCGGGAGGGAGAAGCAACCCAGGACTGCTGAACACCCAGACCCAGCCATCCAAACCAGAGTGCAGACAGTGCATGCGCGGGGCCCTGGATACTAGGGAAACAGGGCAGCAAGAACGGTGAGCAGGTACCAGAGGCCAGTGCGGGAGGACAAAAGAAAAGCGAGTGGCCATCTTTTTTTGTTGTTGTTGTTTTGTTGTTGTGAGTGTTTTTTGGAAGTCTTAAAGGGACACAGACCCCAATACTAGGGAAACAGGGCAGCAAGACTGGCGAGCGGGTATCGGAGACCGGCGCCAGAGAACAAAAGAAACGCGAGCGGTCACCTTTTTTTCTTTTCTTTTTTTTTTTTTGTTGTTCTTTTGTTTTGGCAAGCGCTTTTTGGAAGTCTTAAAGGGATAGGGACCCCAATACTAGGGAAACAGGACAGCAAGTCAGGTGAGCGGATGCCCGTGGATGGCGCCGGAGAACAAAGAAAACGAGCGAACCTTTTTTCTTTCTTTTTTTCTGTGTGGACGTTGTTTTGTTTCAGCGGGTGATTTTGGAAGTTTTAAAGGGGCAGGGCAGGACATTTAGTCCAGAGGTAGGGAATCCCGGGATCTCTGGGCACACTAAACCCCTGGGCAGCAGGGAGCACGGAGGCCCCCTTACGGACATAAATAGCCTCCTGGCTGCTCCCCCTCCAACGCAACTCCAGCACTTTGGAGCAGCAGCCCGAGCCAGGCCACACCCACAGTAACAGTGGAGATAAACTCCATAGCAGCCAGGCAGGAAGCAGAAGCCCGGTCTGCACGCAGCTACCCAGCACAAGCCACTAGTGGACGCTGTCTTCCCAGGCGAGGAAGGCCACAAACCAACAAGAAGGGAAGTTCTTCCAGCCGTCACTAGTCCCAGCTCTGCAAACTATTCCTATCACCATGAAAAGACAAAATTACAGGCAAACCAAGATCACAGAGACACCAGAGAAGGAGACAGACCTAACCAGTCTTAATGACAAAGAAGTCAAAATAAAAATCATAAACATGCTGACAGATATGCAGAGAAATATGCAAGAGAAATTGGATGAAGTCCGAAGGGAGATCACAGATGCCAGAAAGGAGATCACAGAAATGAAACAAACTCTGGAAGAATTTATAAGCAGAATGGATAAGATGCAAGAGGCCATTGATGGAATTGAACCCAGAGAACAGGAACGCATGGAACCTGACATAGAGAGAGATTAAAGGGTCTCCAGGAATGAAACAATATTAAGAGAACTGTGTGACCAATCCAAAAGGAACAATATCTGTATTATAGGGGTACCAAAAGAAGAAGAAAGAGAAAAAGGGACAGAAAGTATCTTAGAAGAAATAAGTGCTGAAAACTTCCCCAAACTGGGGGAGGAAATAATCGAACAGACCACGGAAATACACAGAAGCCCCAACAGATAGGATCCAAGGAGGACAACACCAAGACACATAATAATTAAAATGGCAAAGATCAAGGACAAGGAAAGAGTTTTAAAGGCAGCTAGAGAGAAAAAGGTCACCTATAAAGGAAAACCCATCAGGCTATCATCAGACTTCTCGACAGAAACCCTACAAGCCAGAAGAGAATGGCATGATATATTTAATGCAATGAAACAGAAGGGCCTTGAACCAAGGATACTGTATCCAGCACGACTATCATTTAAATATGATGGCGGGATTAAACAATTCCCAGACAAGCAAAAGCTGAGGGAATTTGCTTCCCACAAACCACCTCTACAGGGCATCTTACAGGGACTGCTCTAGATGGGAGCACTCCTAAAAAGAGCACAGAACAAAACACACAACATATGAAGAATGGAGGAGGAGGAATAAGAAGGGAGAGAAGAAAAGAATCTCCAGACAGTGTATATAACAGCTCAATAAGCGAGCTAAGTTAGGCAGTAAGATACTAAAGAGGCTAACCTTGAACCTTTGGTAACCACGAATTTAAAGCCTGCAATGGCAATAAGTACATATCTCTCAATAGTCACCCTAAATGTAAATGGACTTAATGCACCAATCAAAAGACACAGAGTAATAGAATGGATAAAAAAGCAAGACCCATCTATATGCTGCTTACAAGAAACTCACCTTAAACCCAAAGATAAGCATAGACTAAAAGTCAAGGGATGGAAAAACATATTTCAGGCAAACAACAGTGAGAAGAAAGCAGGGGTTGCAGTACTAATATCAGACAAAATAGACTTCAAAACAAAGAAAGTAACAAGAGATAAAGAAGGCCACTACATAATGATAAAGGGCTCAGTCCAACAAGAGGATATAACCATTCTAAATATATATGCACCCAATACAGGAGCACCAGCATATGTGAAGCAAATACTAACAGAACTAAAGAGGGAAATAGACTGCAATGCATTCATTGTAGGAGACTTCAACACACCACTCACCCCAAAGGATAGATCCACCGGGCAGAAAATAAGTAAAGACACACAGGCACTGAACAACACACTAGAACAGATGGACCTAATAGAC